TACATTTTCTGATGAAATGAACTGATTTAAATTGATTAAATGCGATGTTGGGTGATCATTTAAAATCTAAATTTTAGAGGGTCCATAAGCATTCGAGACCTGAAAATGAACATGGTTTGCGTTCGCATCAACAACAACATCAAAAACAACAACGACAACTTATCAATGCAACACCACTTACAAATACGGTTCGCCGTATCGAGCAATCAGCTAAAAAGGTTTTACCTATGTTGGCTTCGGTAACGCCCAAAATTCAATTCGGTATATTTTCTCTTCTGTTTTTTATATTGCAAATTTTCAAACATAGTTGACAACTCATCATTCGCCATCAACTTTATGTGCCTCCTTGCAAAGCGAGGCAAACCAAAGAAATGCAATTCCCATGAAATGTTGGATAGTTTATTAACGTTGTCGTTGTGAGTTCCTTAATTGATGAATAATTTTGTTGAAATTGCTCGGAAGCTCAGATGTTGAGTCTTGAATAAGTGGTTGTAATTCCTTTGAAGACCGTATTCAGTTTATTTTAACTGTAATTCATGGTATAATCAGGCACACCAAAATCTTCAAGTGGACGTCCTCGAAAAAATTCTGGCACGATTGCTACTGCCGATTCCCAGTGGTGTGACAAAATTGACGAAAGAACACAAAATGAACTGGTGCGTTACTTCCATTTAAAATATTCACTGTTTACTCGTTACATCATTTCATCTTAAAAATTACATAATTACTGTTCCTTTCGAATGATAACTTCTTCAATTTAGAATCTGCAAATGGCCACAGCAAGTGGAATTGTGGAGGAACAGAATGTGATACCTTCTACAATGCGTTTTGATAATAGAGATGCACCGAAAATCAGTCCTAGACCACTGGCATCAGTAGCTGCTCGTGATACTTTTGCATCATCGTCACGTCAAATAAATTCATCACATTCATCAGATCACTCAATAAAATCAGGAAGCAATCCGAACAGCGATCATCAGTCTCAAAATCCGTCGCTCATCAGTCTGCGATCGTCTCCTTTGATCAATGATTACCAACAACAAATCGTTCCTGGTGATGCACCGTTGTGTAACGATAGCAATACTTGCCCAACTACACCCTCTTCAGAGTCAAAACAATTAGTCTCCTCACAGAACACAAATGCTTTTGTTACTCATGTCAGCAAGATACGATCACCCACAACATTATCCACTAATTTAACGCCATCCATACCTAACAGAATTGGTAATGTACCGTTACCTCCTATTCCAAATCACACTCAAGCCAATTTTCTAGAGCCTAACAGATCCATTCAGTCGTTTAATGAAAGTCACCATCAATCTGAACCAATCAGATCTCCTATTCACCATCCACCTCCTGTGCCACCAAGACCCCTTACCAATCAAGCCTCATCCACAAATTCAATGCCAACATTAATCAGTAACAATTATCAGGCAAATAACACAGGATATCTTTCATCGAATGAAACGTCTCCAAATAATATCGCTCACTTACAAATGCACAACATTCCTTTTGAAGCAAATAATCAAATAAATCAATCTGCGGAGGGTATTTTGCATTTACATCCAACAAATCCCTTCCTACAGGATATCCAATGTTCATTATCATCTGATCAATCCACTCACTCAGTAACGTCACCATTACCACTCTTGTCTTGTACAAACCCAATTCAGTCATCTCAGTTGATCGCATCAAATCGATCAAATATTCAGTTTGTTTAATATTGCTTTGCTTCTCATTTATCTCGTTATTTGTTAGGATCATTTGGATAGTTTTTGCATTATAATCATTTCCTTGCATCATATACACCTTTGCGATGCAATTTTGAAGCGTATCTGATAAGTTTCCTTTCGTATCAATTAAAACACTGCTGAGTGAATGAATTCAGTGGCAAGCTGTGAAAATATGATTATCAGATTTTTGACTCATAAAAATTCTTTTTTAGGGATTCTCAGTTAATTTCACCTCCTTCTGCTCTAACGTCAGGACTAAATATGGATTCAACCGTTCGACAGCAATAATTTCAATGGATCATGGACAGCTTTTGTGACATAAAATGCATACATTATCATTTGATGAAATTTTTAGTGTGATTGTTATTCCTTGAAAACTATTCGTCGATAAAATGTTCTGAATAAAGCTTTACTCAACATTTTCTGACATTTGTGATGGGAATTTTTTTCATATTTGAGCATAGACAATTGAAGTGAATGAATTATGAATTGATGTTCGCATGCGATGTTTTTTGTATAATATATCATGATATCGATTGATATTGCAATTAAGGAGTGCTGTTAATGGTGAATTCTGATACTGACATGAGCAATCCACAATTTGGAAACTGTACGATGAAATATGGGAAATGTAATGCTTTCTGGTTGATGAGTAGGATCAGCTAGATAAGTTTAAGAGTCTTTCATGGCTGCATTGATTTAATTGTGGGATAAAACCAAATTTAATAATAGTCACAAAAAAATTCAAGAGTTATGTATTGAGTTGTATTGAGTCGTTGATACAAACTTAATTCGCTAAAAATTAATTTATTCAATATGAAGAGACATCGATTACGATTTATTCACCTATTGTCAATATAAATGTGCTGCTGTTTAGGGATTACGATGAAGCCAAAAGGTATACTTGATGAATATGATGATGATCAATGACGATTTGTGTTTATTCAGCTGACAATCACAAGCATATCGCTCTTTCTACAAATATTCTCTGTGGCGAGGCACATCTACCATATCCACAGAAACAGATTTTATTTAAAACACTCTTGAAATCGCATTATCTCTCGTCCATACAGTATTGACTGTAATCAACAGTAAGTGTTTGATACATTGCAATCTAATCCGCCAACTCAAACAGTATGAATGAATAGGAGAAGCTGAATTGCGCTAACATCCAACAAATATGGAACAGTAATTGTATTTGTGTGTGACAATCAAATGATACGCCCTAAAAAGGCATTATTAACTAAATTTTGTGCTCAGCGATAGCAGCGATAAGAAACCTTTTGATAATTACACTCCTTGGCTCGTTCCACATTACTGTCAAATGCAATTGCGTTTTCTGGACCTTCATTTATTCGTTTTTAACATGCTTCATTATTGTAACTATTCGATTGAAAACATTTTAAAATGATTTTCATTGATATATTCCATCACTGAAAGTTGCAGTCATTATTTCTTTATTCATAGATTTGTCAAATTGAGCGTGAATCGCATTATGTAACAGTTACCCGTGTCAAAAATAACTCAGTCTCCAAGTAATTAGTCTTACGTATTTATCTACTATAAAATCAAAAAACAAGAATTCAGAAGCGCACGTTCTACAAATTATTATCTAATAATTTTGTTTTAATTAATTGCTTGACTGATTGTAGATATTCGCTTTTATTTCTGTTATTCATATTAGAAGCAAAAATTGAGGTGATACATTGAACGCTCATTGTCCAGAATGATTTCATCTCCAATTTGCGGATTTCTGAAAGTTCACTCACAGATCGTTTACACCATATCCAGAAATTCCTTATTACTTCATGCCAAAGCAACTTCCCACCCTATGAGTCTGGATTACAAATCCAAGATGCTCAGTGTTATTTCTGCTTACAATCAGGTAAAAGAAAAGAGTTCAATAGCCAAAGTGCGTGCAGTGATTTTATGCTCAAATTCTTTTATGGTTTTCTACAGTACGCTGATTTTTTTGCCCAATAAACTTTGAGATCAACAATATACTGTTATAATACAGCTAATGCTAAATAAGTTTCAGTTAGGAAAACAGCCAAAATCAAAGAAGAAACAGAATGAAAAAATGGAGACGTGATAGAAAATATCCTCATCCGAGTATCCAACCCTTTGAAAATACTCTATATAGTTGTATTGTACAACTTTATATTGCTTTACTAAGTATGAAAACATGGTAGGATAAAACTGTGATCATTATTGGTGTTGCATAATCAATTTTGATTGAAGCAACACGAAATTGACCATCAAAAGCCAAAAATTCCAAAAGCTTTATTGCGGCGCATTCAATTCACATGAATCAATTTGCTTGCAACACTACTCAATACTTATCGATCCTTATTTATCCTGCATTTATCTTATCAATTCGGTATTTTCGAAATCGTGTCTGTGGTCAGATTGATTTTCATCCCTTAGTGAATACTTGTTTTAAAAAATGTTCAGAATATACTGGAAACGGCCTGTTTTCCTGTGCAATGTTAAACACATCCGATACTGATTCCAAGATATCTTTCTAGGCAGATACGGTAGGAAAATAAGAATGTTTAGTTCATGTAAAAACAAAATACATATTGTCTTTTAAAACAGAATGTGCACGTGAATGGAGCTATCCAGTTTTAGGCGATTCAACGAAAAAAGTCGCCGTCCTTAAACATCAATCCGTTAAATACAATTCTTTACCAACATCGCTAACACAGATTTAACGAAAATTCGAGCTCACTTGTTAAACAAAACAAACCATTTTGGTTAATAACGGATTAACGATTGGCACTTCACGGCTCACCACCTGAGAAATCGTTTCGTGTGTTCTAAATTTGCTGGTGAACTGTTTGTTATTGATATGGTTTTCGATATATCATTTGAATAAGGGGTTCTTAGCCAGGGGTACTCGCACTCCTCGGGGAATTCGAGATAGTATTCTAGAGGATGCGTGATAACATCTCTTTTTTTATCAAAGTAGGCGAGGACGGATTTTAATTACAGACACTTACTGTAGTGGATGAGAGATACAGAGTGGATGTTGTGGAGGATGCGAGAACCATTTTAACCATTGTTGCAGGGGTGCGAGGAAGTCTTGAAATTTTTTAAGAAGTGTGGGCGATAAAAAAGGTTGATAACCGTTGACCTAAATCAATGTTAATTTGAATGATGCATATAAATGGTCAGTTGATTACTGGCGGCAGCTTCACCGAATTGATCAAATCATTGCACCGATACTCATTCAAATAACTGATAAATAATTTCAGTGTTTGCCTCATGCATCCAACTACAGCATACGTATCAGCTTTTCAATGTGGGAACTCACTTCATTCGGTCATTTCTGCAGCGAGATTACTAAAACTGCGAACAGGTGAGTTTAGCTTTCGTAAAGGTACCACAGGCAGTTTAAATGTTTGACGAGATGCCGTAAGCAGTCCGGAACCAATCCTTATCGTAGTAAAAAGAATGATTAAACGTGCAACTACTCAAACGTATTTGTGGTGTATTTTTTTAAATGAGCTCACTTGGCTATTTCAAAGAATTCACTTAAGAAGAGCATGTACCTATCAATATTATTGCAAAAAGTCAGCACAGACGCTATAATGTAAACATAGACCTGTTTCTCATAAACTTGAAAACATGTAAAACAATGAAGAAGCGTATTGTCAGGCGGTGAAGTAGGGGGTATTTGAAAACGATTAGATGACGCAGCAGTTTTAATGCTTCTAAAGCAACTTTACATTATTCAGGTAGCACAACAACGAAAGAAGAGAAATCGCATGTGATCAGTCCGTTTTCACCAGAAGCGAGAGTACCACTACCTTGTGAACTGAACGAACAGTACGTTTCTATGCTATAAAGAAATACGTCTTGAAATAATGCTGAAGTGCAAGGAGATGGAAACGGATCTCATCTCAAATAACGATACGAGACGAGAAATTTCGCAATGTGATGACAGTTTTCGAGAGAATTAACAAATTTTCGGAACGAGGAATATTTCTCAACGAAACAAATGAATTTTTCTAGATAAAATTAGGTTTTAAGAAAATTTTGTTGCAAATTCCATGATGATTTTATTTTTCTTTGTAAAATCATCATGGAATTCTATGATTATTTTACTTTACTTTGTAAAATCATCATGAATAAATATTTCGAATTATCAGGGTGAACCCTAATTTTCACCTTGTAAAAGTGAAAATTAGGGTTCACCCTGATAATTGTAGTTTGAAGAATTTTGAAGAACGCTCACTAATGACTTCAGTAATTTTGGAACATCCGTATGGAAGAGGAACGAACGTGAACGATATCGTGTACGATGTGTGAACGATGGTTATGAGCGTCTCCGTGATCATCTGCCATTAAACGACAAGTCATTACCTAATATTCTCAGTACTTAATCTTGTAAAGCTGAAGCACTATTTCGATCGCTAACTGCTTTCATCATTATCTGTTCACATTCACATAAAACTACGGTGGCGTTTTCATTTCTTTAAACATACGACAAATGAAAGAAAATTTGGAAATTAAAAGCTTCATAAATCTTCCACCAACTCATGTTTTCCACTGAGAACACAATGAACGAAACATTTTTTGTGACAGCTGATGATTTAATTGCATCTCATCATATCGTTTACAGAAATAATGGTATAGACGAAGATGAATGGATAGAAAATGTATTCATATCAAATTGCAGCTACCATCGCATAAGTAAGGTTGACACACTTCGACTCGCCATTCGTTATATTCGCCATTTGGAAGCTGTTTTATATAACGATGATCATTGGACCAAATGCGACTGCTTTGATACGTTCAAAGTGGATGGTGAAGAGAATATAGAAGTGAATCGAAGATCAAAAGGTAGAAAACGACGATACGATGATGAATGAATTTCATTTGAATGATACTGAAGAAAAGAATAATAGTCCAACATTTGAATAAATTATTTGACGATCGGTAACTTTCTGAAAGTGACTGGTGGCAATGTTATTTATCTAGAACAAACCTTTCGGTATAAGGCTATGAAAATATGTGACATGAGTAACAAAAAAGTCAATGTCAATGTCGAGATCAACACAAAATTTAACCATGAATGAGAATAAACACGACAGATGCGACCCAACTCACTTCTCTCCATTCATGAACGCCACACAACATCCACTCATGTTCACAGAAATTTTCGATCTTGTAAATGAGTCACTAAAATTTCCCACGGTTAATTATAATAGCACAAATACAAACCATCGAGAACAAACGTACAGCATTCGTCCATTTCATAACTTCGAATTTCTCGTTTATCATAAGCATATCAATAGCAACAACGTTGTTAATAAACAAACCAATATTGGTAACAACAACAACGAATAACGATAGAACCTTCAAAAATAAAAACAATTAAAGTGATAAGAATAATGCCAAAGTAACAGTGACGAAAGAAAATGTTTGAAAGCATTCGCTGACAGTTACAATCAAAAAGTTCGTAGGCAACTGAAGGTGAGTAGACGTATAAAGTGGACGATTAACATTTCCAGTTTAGTGACATAACATCAATCGATAGTAGAAAAATTCAACACTAAAAATTCAGGCTAGTATTAACTATACGAATGCAGGTCCATAAAATACGCTCTTTCAATCAGTTCTGGAATTGTACAACAAAAATACTTGCGATGGAATAATGACAATACAAAAGTGAGAAATTAACAATCTCTGTTGCAGTTTCTCGTTTATCATGAAAGAAAACCATACATTAGCAAACGAATCAGTGGTGGTAAATAATTTCCTAGAACAATAACATATAACGCATCAGTTCGGAGTAATGAAGTAGTAATAGCATTGGTAAAGAGTAGTTATGTGAATGTAATTTTCTCATGAGGTAAATGCCCAATATCGCCTAATGAACGCAATGAGACATTGCCACTTGGCCGAATCACGAGCCAAGTAATCGAACAGTTCCCAAGTGACATTCGCAGCCATCCTTCCGGTGGAAATTGCAATGCTCTAAATATATTTCATTCACACTTGATCTATCGATGTTCCAACGGATGCTTATTTACTAATCAGTACTTAATATCATCAATTTTCCATCTCAAAACTCATCAGATTCAGTGCAATGAATTGTGAACGTAAAATAACAGAAACAACAACGTTCACTAACCGACAAACAAAATAACGAATGACATTGGCATGACAAACGATCACTTCATAGCTATCTTGTTTTTGTTTTGGATTCGCACGATGCATGTACTTTCGAAAGGCAGCTTCGATCCTCGAACCCTCGGCGAAGAATTTCAAACAAACAAACAGTTAGATAGTTATTCTATCAGTTTTGTTATATTATAGTTATTCTATTACATGACAAAACGTTTCGTTGAATAAGCTATAACAGATAAAAGAACATCCACCAAACGAAAACATCTCAGTTTCAAAAATGAGTTCAAATAAAACAAAAAGTCAAACTCAAAAAACAAGCTCACTTTTTGTTTGGGTTTCCAATGCGTGACCGATGGTTCTGGAGGGTATGGTGCGCCTTCTTCAAGAATTGCATCTACTTTCGTTTGCATCGGACTTATTTCTTTGAGTATCAAATTGGCCGTTTCACAAGCACGCGTCATTGAAGACATTATCAAGACGTCGAATTTTTTGCCACTTTCCGCTAGACGTTTACCCAATAAGACTGCCTGTTCTCGTCCTGAATTCAAGACCGTAAACATTCCGAAAGATTAACATAGATGGAATCTATTCATTCGGCTAAAGCAATGTTTACGTTACGAACAAAGTCTAAATGTTCAAGGTTCAAGTTACAAAAAGCAGAGGTGACTGAAGCCTCACCAAGAGGAGTTAAATTCTTCTCATCTGTATCCATAGCGTATTGTCCATGACGGATAAGAAATATATTACGAGTGGCTGTAGGCTTCACTTTTTTAAGCATCTCTTTACGTTCACTTGCATCTGCAGCTTCATATTTGACTGGATCAACTAACGACAACGGATCACGGCTAAATTCATAGCATATCTGTTTTATTTGATACTCAGATTAAGAGCACCTTGTTTCGATTCATTCTATGTACTCGACTAATACTCGGATTTCGCACAACAAATTTGATATGATGTGTAAAAGAACAAAAAACTACTCACCTATCCCAGTCTGAATGCCATTTATTTCGTGGGAAAAGATCCGTGCTCAACGATGGGAGACTACCATCTGTATGTGTGCTGGTGACTGGCTGTGCGGCACGCGTTGTAAAACCGTCGCGTAAGTTTTCATAGAACACTGCACTTGCAGTTGCAGCAGCGACCGTCAATGGGATAGCAATCTTGGCCATACGCGACAGAATCGCCATGGTACGGCCACTGTTTTACTGGAACGAGCATCATTTCATTGTTGGCTCACTCGCTGAGAAGATTGAAAAATACAAATCGGCAAACCGACACCGCTACGACAAGCGGATTTACGAATACTGATTCGTTCTTGTGAACGATCATCACACATACACTATTGCTCAAAAATCAATGAATAACTGTGATACCCACTGGAGGTAAAAAATGAATTACTGATAAAGCAGTTCGGGTTCTCATCATTCTGAACCGATTTCAAAATGCGTTAACAATAAGCCAGATCTATATGCAAAATAAGTTTTTATTCACGTTCAAACTTTAACAATTCGTTTTTCGTTCATAATTAAATTTCACTTTTGTCATCACAATATAGCCCAATATTACAGTCTGAGGTCACTATTCGTTTCCACTTCATTGATATGTTTACAAACAGTCATGCTTCGCTAGGCTACCTTTAGGACAGTGGGTGGTTGATGGGAAAGAGAAAATATGAGGATTCAGTAAGTGGGGGGAGGCAACTGAGGAGGTTGGCAAATGAATCTTCCTTGATTTTTTCATATTATTATCACAATTGTTCAATAATACTTTCGACATCTGAAATTAATTACAAGGAAATGATCATGTATGTGATATGCCTGAGATGAAATTTTTACAGCAAACTTCTTGACCAATGAATCACTTCGTTGCATATGGTAATCAAACTATTTTTTCTATAAAGATAAAGACACAACAAACTGATATACCAACACGTCATACAGGTTTAGATGATCACACTGACATTCTATTCTTTTACAATTCTCGCACATTTCTAAAATATTTTCGATGAACGCTGAACCAGTAAGTAGTAAACATGCAACACTGCACAATTTTGATTATTCAGATGACAACGAACTATAACCTATGGTATCATCACAACGTATATGATCACAAAATGTCATAAAATTGTGTTCCAAACAAAAGCGTATAAATGGCTTGCATGTGAAGCTTTCAAACTATGTAAGTTCAACATGACGGGGTAAACAACTCGCGAATAATCAATTTCGGTCAAATTTTAGCGTATATAAGAATATCGTTCGAAAAAACAAAAACTGATGGTCAACAGGTGCGTAACTGATTTCAAATGAGAGATTTCCACGCTATGAAAGATTTGCTTTTGTGATTCATCTGTGTAACATTGTGGAAAAAAAAGATCGTTGTTTGTTCCATCCAAAAACTGTTTCAGTGTTAGGCTTTGTGCAGAACTAATGCATATCTTTGAGTACGAAACTTGAGGGATATAATTTTTCGAGACATGTGGAAAAGGATGTAATATTTCGAAATTTTTCACGACTGGGGTAAGAGGGGGTGTGAGAATGGGTGTGATGAGAGGGGATGAGTGAGGGGAGCAGGAGGGATACAACATATTAAGGTTTTATTTTTTATATAGTAAAATAGGCGAGGATGAACTTCAACATATTTTTGAAAAGGCTAGAACTTACTCTAATGGTATACACTTATCTACACTACTGACACTCACTGTAGTGGATGAAATATACAAAGTGGACGTTATGAGGGGTGCGAGGACATCTTAAAATTTTTGAGGAGTGCGGAGGGGAAAGAAGGTTAAGAACCACTGTGGTAAAGTATGAACTGAACGTGAAATTTTTTAATGCGGGTAGGAACCATAAAGAAGAGGAGGTCTGTACAGGGTTGGTTACTAAAGAGGACCAGGATTATTACGAAAATATCACATTGAAATTGATACATCTTCACAATCACTTTTGCGTTCACATTGGCAAGTTATTTATTTAATTACGTGATGGTAATTTTGCATAATTCTGTAAAATGTCGTTCGTTCACATTCGCAATTGAATGTGAGCTATTGTAAGAGGACATCATAACCATTCGCAACTTCGTCTACAATGTTCGCAACGTCGTCACATCTATAATTACACAGCAATGTAAATGATCCGCATAGAGTGGTGTAACAGCCAAAACAAAGACATTGTACATTTCGATCGAATGAAAATTATTCCAAATAGCGAAGTGAAGAGACTTGCAGACTTCAGAACATACAGTTGAATTAACAAAAATGAAATGTTGATGCCGAAGAGATCGCGTGGAAGGAAACTGTAAACATTGTATTGTACTTTTAGAATTCTCAAAACACCATTTTGATGAAAGATGCAAATCATAACTAAAGATGAACAAACATTTGCTTCGTTCGAATCTGTCATTCGACGACCAATCGTCGCAATTTACCTATTATTCCTCAATACGATCTCACGTACCTCCCATAAACCAACGTGAGAACGTTCGCTCAGAGACAGGACGAGAACTTTGTGGTAAGCAGACGAGAGAACAAGTCCAGCCGAGAAATCAAGTCAGGCTAAGAGATCAAGTCAACAACACCAAGAAACCTGAGTCTTTTTTCTCGCTCTTTCTTTCCACTTGATCCATTCTTTCGCAATTGCAGTCTTCCTTGTTTTTGCTTGTTTATTTTCTTGTCTCTATTGTTATCAACTAAGGGGGAACACTGGGCCTTTAGTGATTCAGTCCACCTTCCATCAGTTAAAAGTCACCCCCTCTTTTATCAAGCTGATAGTCGGTACAGTCAGTACCAGTCGTATATTCGTCTGCCAAGAATGGCCAGCTAGTATTGAATCGGCGTTTTAAATGATAATCAAAGTTTCGAAGTATATTCAGCTGTGTGTATTAAGATTAATTGCCAGAATTGGACTGTAATATCTTATTATTGTATTGTTTCATATCCACGGCTGTTATCATATTGTATTATTATTCAGCCCAACATATAAAAATTATTTATTGTTAGCAGCGAGTGGTTAAACTTAAAATTTCGTTCAATTTTGTTGCTCTTGATTCTCATTACAAAATCTGACTATCTCCGTTAATCTACATAGAAATGCATTAAATGTTACGCAAAAGTTCATCAAGCTGTCGTGCATCATGCCATTCATTTGACCTACATCAATTTCCTTGACCATTCATAAATGATTGGTGACAAACAACAAAGATGACTGCATATGAATGAGCTGGGAATGATTAAGACTTGCTTTAGGATGGACGTACTATCAAAATTCATACAAATTGACTTGCTTTATCAAAGCCCGAGATTCAGTTCTGATATGGGATCGGGATCAGAACTGAAATCCCGGGATCCCTTGTAAACCCTGTCTGAAACAGGACGGTAATACGCACGCGAGAATATGAGTTATCTGTATTGCACACAACATCAAAAGTATTGTATGTAATTTATCTACTATTTCCACAGTCATCTAACAGTAAGTGCATGTTAAGGGGATATTGGAGTCTCTAATATGTAAGGCATATATAAAGTCGGGCGATTTTGCTTACATTCAGAGAAGTATCTGATGGTGCAATATCTGAGTATCTGTTTCCTGTCCATTTCAATTTTTTCAGATGAAATAATATCCCATGTTATTAAATTCTCATCCGTTAAATGATGCATGCTTTTCAAGATCTTGAGTCATGTTTCTTGAGTTGGATATCAATTAATAAGGTTGAGTCCCCAACCTGAACGTTACATATGTGATGCCTGTGGACAACAATAATAAGCAATTCTAGAGCAATGTGCGATCTTTAGATGAAGCTATATATCAGGGTATGTATCCGGGATGAAGCTAAATATTCGAGATAAGCTATCAGGTCATGCGATCTTTAGATGAAGTAACACTTCGTGTTACCAAATTCCCATCCGCCTTGGTACATGTTTTTCAGAACAATGGTAATAGAACAAAATTTAAGCTCGTCGGAATCTAGCCGAATGCACTTTTTGAATCCAACAGGGTTCAGGTCGGATTTCGCTGAGTTGACTTTTTATAGGTTATAAGTGTAATGATTACTTATTGTTATATAATCTATAAAATTTATGTGTCATCTATACTTATTGTTAGTGGTGACAGCATCCGAACGAAATTTCGGTTCGGTCTGAATGTGAACGAATCAGCTTTTCAACATTTTGATCTTGGGTATTTCGACCAAAATTCATTGGATTTTACCGATCGAGCGTCGGTCGATTACCACCGCCAGGCTGTGATCTGTATCGATTACACGAAAGCTTTCGACACCGTCAACAATCAAAACCTGCTGCACAAACTAAACTATATATGGCATTCGAGGTTCATGGCTTAAACGTTTCCTTACTAACAGTCTTTTATACTCAAAATTTGTGAATAATTACCAAAATGTTATCAGTGGCGTCCCTCAAGACAATATGCTCGGTTCATTTTATTTGAATCACGAAACACATTGTTTGGTTCACATCTTTATTCAAATTCTATAAAAGAGTTCTTCTCTCGAAGTGTATTCCATACACTTTCGATTCAAATGCACATATATACAGATAAAATTATGTATAACTTTTCGGAACTTGGAAACACAAGAATAAGACACAATTACTCAATATTAGAGTGCAAAACTTCAGTAAAAATGGTTGTTTTTTGATGGGCGTTTTTCCGAATAAAATATGAGAACTGAAAAGAAAAACATAGTGAACTACTTCATGAAATATTAGCAATAGTTCAATAAAAGTAAAGCAAAAATTTTTTGAAAATCTTTCTAATATTGAAAGCATCAACTAAATGACGACAAACAAATCAAGTATGCTAAATGCATTCCAACGTTCACCCAATAGAGGTATTATATTTGTTCACAATAAATCAATTTTCGATCACTAACTTGTAATGCCTAGTCACATTACCCAACTGAAAGCTTCGTAATGTCGCTAAAATGAAACCGTTATAATTTGAGAGCGAGCATTCCAAACTAGACAGACAATTTCTACGACCCATCAGAATATTCTTTCAAAAATTACTCCTAACATTTTCGATATGATATCATGGGCACAACCAGACTTAATAAGACAAACTGAAGAAAGGAAATGCTTATTTATTTAATGCGTAAACTTCTAAATTTTGGGCAACGTATAAAACCCCTATGGATGTAGCAGCACACAGGGGTATATTTTAGGCATTTGAAAGCTTGAATCTCAGCACAAGTTTAAGTCTGAATTTGCACCCGAGAAAAGGATACTTACTGAACATTACCCCTATGTACTGCTACACTCGTACAGTTTATCCAAATTCTGCATTTTTACGCAGTCAGTTCTTCTGTGAAAGTTCACTATTTTCTCTTAGACGTTGCACTTTGCATTCTTCCGATCCGGTGATATTTGATATCGATTCTGAAACAAAGTTCGGCAGTTGGAATTATTGTGGATGATAAATTTCAAAGTAAACTTGCTGGAAATATTTGAACCGTTCATGATATTCGATAACGTTCTAATTGTAAGAAAGAAACTATCATTACCCGAAGAGCACTTTTGCGCTTTCCGTGAACCGAATTCGCTGCACGGTTATTAGTGTTTTGTTCAGCATGATGTTCACTAATCGGATCTTTCTCATGATCTTCAGATGTTGAATGTTTGAATCGGAATTGATCTATCCTTGAAACCAATGCAGGGAAGCACTTACGCATTATTTCAATCCAAGCACTCTGCAGAATCCCGCTGCTAAAACTAACAATAATCTATATGCATGCACCTTGTAGCTTGATGTCATCATAAGAATATGTAGTAAGTGACCATGAGTCAACATGATCAAATCAGCTGATCGATGCAAATAATGCTTAAGAAATAATGCTTTATCGATTAATTCGTGTTGTGAACGTAAAGTAAACTAACTTATTGTTGATAGGCCTTGGACCAACTTGAGGATGCTTCAAAGCCATATGAGTTCGGACATGTGCTGCTTCGCTACTCGTATAACTGCATTCAGAACACTGATATTGTTTCACATGATAATGGCGTTTAGCATGATTCATTAATGACGATAATGAACGGTTGTTCGGCATCTGTTTATGACAAATCTGGAAAAATGGAACGGAATGAACACTTCATTTATACGTTCCCTTGTTTCGTGCAAAAATAAATTCTCTCGAATGCACTCAGCGAAATGCTTAACAAACGTTTCACATAACTTCTACTTTCATGACAAAACGCACAAAGTTACGTCGTCATGTGTGCGTAACATGTCACTCAACTACCACTCTAAATCTGTTGAATTTGCATTCATTAAAAACAAACGAAAGTCTAAAAACCATATGCCAACTGAAGCATAAAAACTTTATTGAAACAGAGAAACGGAATAGTTAAATTCAAACCTCACAACGTATTGATGATGTGTCATCGTTTTCGATTATTTCAATTTCTCGACTTGAGACGTCTTCACGACTTATCGGTGATATGCTACATCGTTCTTCTTTTGGAGCAAGATTTTGAAACTGTGACAGCATGCGAGCTTCTTCTTCATCAGCTACAAGTGTTATAATAATACATCCATTGCCAGGTAAAGAACTGATGATTAGGACTGATTTGAAAAAAAAAACGGTGATGAACAGCTCTGTGCAGTTAGTTAGCAGGGCCCTGAGTCACTGAGCAATGCGGTCAACGTCTAGAGCAATCGATTTAAGCGAGAATGAATGAAAACACACAAAATTAGCAGTAAATTTAAACGAAAAATTGAAGCAAACCTGGTATTTCAGGAAAATATTTATGCAGGAAAACATCTAAATTACTCCCAGCTTCTAGAGCTTCGACATTCACTTCCGCTGCTTTTTCTGAGTGTTTCAGAGTGATGTGTAACCGTACCCTCCACTAAAACAACTCATCGGTAATACGAACAATCATTGTTGAAAATGAAGTGTAAGATTTTGAAATTATTGAGATTTTGTCATGAATCTGGATGTTTTTTGCTTTCATTTTCAGAAGGAAACATTAAAAGAATTATCTTATTTTACTTGGGAAGATGAGATGAAGTGTAAAGAAATGGTAGCAATGAATAGAATGAAGACGAGACAATGTACTTGGAAATTTCTAGGATGGTTGATGGTCAGCTCGTTATAAGGTGACGATTTGGCAAACAACTCAATGAATGCAACTGATATTTGAAGAGTAAGAAGAAGAGAAAGTACGATTCACAAAACGTTGATCGAACCTGATCGGCATTTTGATAGCCACATTCTTCGCACGAGTAAGGAATACATTCAAGACGATGAACAGTGTTCAAATGAGAACGAAGCGAATCCAGAGAAACTCGTAAACCGCATTCTATACACGTAAATCTTTCGCTCTCATCACAAACGCTTTCTGATGATCGCTCAGCTATACCCGTTCCTTCGACACAATTCTGAAAGTTTCTGCACTATTCTATTACCCACTAATATTACGCTGCACACATAAACGTACTACTGAACGTTGTTGTAGAGGAATGAGTCAAGCATACCTTTGAGTATCCTGGAAAACACTGCTCCATTAACAGATCCCATTGGCTTTGCATCTCTGGTGATAATGCATCGAGTGGCTGACTTAAGTGATCTTTGTGGTTATGTTGCATATGGAGACGTACCTGCATATTTAGTTTCTAGAAGAGAGCATTGAAATTGTTCGTTAAAACAATTCAAATCTTTATACTTCACTATAAATCATCAGCACTCCCATAAATCTTTTGTAATTCATTCGACAATAACTGCGACGTTAGCGTTCGCATTTGTGGAATTATTCACGAGCATTCTAATCCAACCTGAACTTGGTGAATGCTTCACGATAGCTCTCATAACTCATAGTACCTATAAGCACTTTCTACACTTAGAATTCAATACTGTAAAGCCTTTATGATACCAAGCATCATGGCTTCAGTTCTCGATGGTGTATGAGACTACCTCTAGGGTGATATCGGCTAATGTGAAATGTTCTGTTATGGAAATATTTTGTAGACAATTTGTATAAGTAAATTTATACGAGAAGATAGGTTGGTATGGTACTGTGATGCATTCGTAAAAGCTAAACACATACATCTAAAACGTTTTACCTAGCCCTGCAATGTCACACGTATGCGTTGTTATGACAACTGTAGAATGTACATGTAAGTTTCCTATATGAATCAGATTTTCGTCAGCTGATCAATGACAGATTAATTTATCAAAAATACAATGTTATTGCGAAATTTTAAAAAAAATATTTTGCGTTAACATGGAACTCATTTTTAGAAACTTTTGAACGTTTCAACCTATTCAAATGCATTGATAGAGTTATTACTGGATCATACGACTGAGCACTATCACATATACAAATGTAATGTGCACACAAATCGCATGTGTAAACAAATTGAATGTATTTACATGATACAAGAGTCAGTAAGCAAATCCAACTGTCACGTATGTCCAATGTGTTCGTGAGAACTTCATTAGATAACCCCTTATATCCAACTTGCTTTGCAATCAGTCGTTAAATGCGCATTGAAATTCACAATACAATCTCACTGATGGGCATGTTGACGAAAAACACAAGAAAATGTCTGAATCGTTGAGAAAAATCCGCTATCGATATCTCACTAAAAAAGTCGCTGAACCACTGATAAAGCGAAATTTGTCAACTATCGCTGTCGCTATTGCTACTTTGGAATCTTCTTCTTCTTCAAAAAAAAAACGAGAGGAAAACAACAAAACTGAAGAAAAGTTCACTGCATCGCCACGTAAGTTATAAGTTACTAAGAGTCAAATATCATAATAAGCTGGATGGTAGTAGTGCACTAAAGGCAAACATTCGAACTGTGATTCAACTTCAATCCGCTGGGAAGAGTACGAGTAGAGTGGGTTCGAATTTAGTGCAGTGTAAAACATGTACTTGCATAACTTAATGTTGAGAACGATATGCATTCGTTTGTAGACGAAAACTTAGCGGAAGTCGCTAAACACACGAAAAAGTAGCTAACCAAAGACACTAGCAGGCGCTATCGCTGGAAAATTCCGCTATTTGAATACAACAGTGCGCTATTGCTGAATCGCTGATCCGCTACTAGCGGATCAGCGCATTAGTGCCCATCTCTGCATACTTTCATCACAAACAGTCAGTATCAGCTGACAATTTGTGATGAGAATTTTCAATTTATACGTAGTCACTGACGACGCAAAGAAAACTGTGAAATGGAAACTTGTTGGGAAGAGTAATCGGTGCTGAATGGCATTATTAAAATTTGGTTTTAAGATGACATAATTCATCCTCACATAAAATTGTAAACAAATCCATGTGTGCTTACTAATGAATCCATTCGAAGGATACAAAACAAAACCTTTGCTATTCGTAATGACAAATAGTCCGAATAAAATAAATTCGGTAATGAAATGAAATGAAACTCTACCTTGGCCATTTCATTATGCGTATAAACACAGTAGATGCACTGGAATTGCTTCAATGAAGCATGGCGTCTGACGTGATTCGTTAGATTCGATAGTCGACTAGCCATAATCTTATTTTGGCATAGCTGACAAACTGCATATAAGTTCGGATCATCTACAGTGACGGCACGTGATCCACGAGGACGTGCTACAAACGGTATCGGCGAGGGAATATTGCCTGTTGATGACGCACTTGCCAAACAATGTACTGGTGTTGAGCTGGATGGTGCTGGTGAATGTTCCGCATTATTGGGGGCTGTTGCAAGCAGCACTGAATTCGTATCTTGTACCGCTGCTAACGCATCTTCTTCTGTTAAATTCGCATTACCATTCATTAATTCATTCAACTCTCGCATCGAAGCAACGGCTGGTAGAAATGCATTCTCTCGAATTTCATTCACAAATGATACTTCCGGGAAGCCATTATTCAACTAAAAGTGTCACTGTTACTTAACAAGCATTCTTTCGTTATCAGCAGCAGCAGCTTTTAATGCATTCACAACCATTTCTACTGAACAGAATGTGCGAGTTGGCTTCATTTGAAGTAATATAGTTATAAGTTTTGAAACGATTGATTTATTTCTCACGAGCACATTAACGCTCATGCTCAACACTCCTGTTTATGCACTTTCAGTGTCTGCAATTTATTCTACAAATATGCGGTTTCCGTATATTTTTATGCGTGATTCTACATTCAGTTGTCTTACATAGCTACGTAACACTGCTGCTCTTTTAAGAGAAAATAACTGAATTTCTAATTGATTGACTGATCGCAATTGCTTCTAAATGGAATCAAAAATTTGTCATGAAACTATGTTCTTGAAATTTCAATAAGTGAATTTTCAATCAATCAACTCAATTGTTAAATCAAGCAATCAGCTACATTATTCTCGTGAAGCTCGCTCTAAAAGGTGCCTTTTGTTGTAACAATACTAACTTTTCTCATTACCACGGACGGATCTTCACGAACTGTCACAGACTAAACGCTCGTTCATACAATTAGAACACCAAAAAAATACGGTATTTGAAATATTTTACCAGCAAGCTGAAGAGCTTGATGATATCGCCACCTTCGGGAATTCGTACAATGGCGAAGTTTGGTAATCCAAGGATATCGTTAGCGGTGTTGACGTGCTTTACGGAAGGTAAAGCCATCCAGATAAGCGTGTCAGTCGTGTCAATGTCAAGCGAGCAAGCAAGTAGAAAGCACAAGCAGCTGCGTGATAGATAGTAGACAAGCTGTGCGTGCGAGGTGTGTTTGTTATGTATATATTTATTGAAATATATTTGTGTTTGTTATGTGTGTATGGTGTGTGCTTGCTGTGTTCTGTTCTGTTGATGGGAAGATGGTCGTGCGGCGATGCCTGCCTGCGTTTTGCTTGCCTGTTTGCTAGATGCCTACCCGCCTGCGTGCCTGCTAACGTTTGCATTCTGCAATCAGTGAGCGCGACGAGAAGAGATATAAAGAGATGAGAGGGGATGCGAGAATAGAGCGGTCGTTATCATCCTACTCGAACACGGAATCGATTTGCACATGAGCAAGCAGGCGGGCAAGTAAAGTTGTCGTTGTTGGTTGGCATGCACTGGTAATTCATCATCATCCGGTGGGTAGGTAGTAGGCATATTGCTGGTGATGAGTCGAACTTGCCGAATGGAAATAAGTGATTTGTTGAGGGTCGATTATGTGAATGGTTGAACGATTGCAGCATGCGCTGTGAACGATTCAATTCTGTTGTTCACTTTCAGAATTTTTTCATTCGTTTCACTTTCACCAGCAATCGGCAAGCACTGCCTTCCTTATGCCGTCCACAAACACCACTTCCGTCGTAAATCTAGCATACGTCTTGCTGGTGTAGGTTTGAGCACAAAACTCAAAACTAATCTATCTATAACACCCCTAACCTAATGCAGCAGCATTTGCACCGTTGTGTTACTATTCAGCGCACTAGCATAATTCACCTATCTTCTTCGTTAACCGTCAAGCATGCAAGTAGATAAATCACTGATCATTGCAAGTAAGTTTCTTAGATGCGATCTTTCGTCGCAGCTTAAATGCGATCGCAATGAATCACTAGATGAACAGTACGCACACAAAAACTAGCTTATTTTTTAATCATTCATTTATTTAGGCATTTTTTCTTTGTTTATATATCTATTTCACACCTATCCATCATTATCATTATTATTTGTTATTATCAATTAATTTATTATTAAGTGATTTTTTATTATTAATCAATTAATTAATAATAATTAATATTATTACTATCATTGTTATTATTATTATCAATTATACGAAAATAATTATTATGCGCATCTCATCGCCCATTATAGAATGTTATGCAGTGATGATGATCACGACTATGATTTTGATTAGGATAGAGATAAAGCTGGATTTTCGATTCATTTCAGTCCGCAACGAAGTTTGTTACAATTTATTGCGTTAGACTGTGCCAGAGTTTGCATTTGTGATTTGCTGCAAGTTGAATGAAAATGAAAGTATGGATAGTGCAAAATGGAGTGGTGCAGTTCATTGCAGATAAGATGCTATGTAGAAAGGTGTTGTTTTAAGATAGAGATCTCAACCGCGTGCTGATCAATTCAGTACAGTCATAGCAGTTTGTACGACGAACATCGTTAAAAGTCTTGTGAGAATGGCGCTGTTATCAAATGAAATCATCATGTGCCACCTACCAGATTATTATTTATAATAACAATAAAGCATTATAGAAATGGGCAGAGGCATCCTTTAGTATCGTACATTAGTTCTCCAACTGGTTACTTGAGGCTATATATATCAGAATCTCACCATTTATAATCTTTCGTTACCATTTCGCCATTGTTTGCTCTGTAAGAACGGTCTGTAATTTAAAAAGGAAAACGGTTAATAATGCTTCCTAGATACGAAGGCTCTATGAACCAATTAATACAGCTAGGCGAATGCACCCGAAGAATAATATCTCACTTGCGACAGTACATCATAGGATAGTATTCTTCACAGACTGTACGTAATTTGATAGCATGGGCCAATCCCATAGTTTGATGAGTAATTTTGATTGCAGCTTTTTTTTGTATGTACGATGCTGACCACTGATATTCAGGTCGTACAGCATATTTAGACAGCACAGCTTTTTTGAACCTCACGAAGATGCAAACGTAAGAAAAACTAATAAACAATTCGCGCTCTAAATGCAAGGACAATTCTAAAGGCCGTAACAACATACATGGAAGGAATCATTCTGGCATCAGGCAGCCGCAATATTAATTTATATAAACACTAAGAGTTTTATATATTACACAGAAGAGACGAATAATCACGATGAAACTGTATTTATGCGCATGATTTTTACAAACTATCACATTCGAGCACAAAAAAGCACCACAATATGATCATAATGAAGTTTGTTACTGAAATGCAATATTAAATGTTCAAATGAGCATGCTGTGTTGACACTAATAAAGCACACTAGATACAATTCAACGAGCGTTAAAGCGGTTATTATTCGTTCATACTACACTATAATATCATATATAGAAACAATTAATCACAACGATTTGAACATTTTGGCGCGTCGAAAATTTAAATCAAAAAGGTTGCATAAAATTATTGTAATCAAACCAGTTTAAAAAAAGTAACGGCACATTAACGTCATGCCCAAAGGAGAACGATGAGAATCACGAAGTAATTTTAAAATCATGCTCAAGATTCTATTGCAATGAGCATTATTTTCGATAACTTCTTTTCGATCAAAGAAAAACAGTTTCGTTGAAGTCAGCATGATAATACCATTATGCATAATCTCGAACAATCTTGTACATTAACTCGTAATGTGCAATATATCATTCAACAATACATCCAGATAATTCATTCTCCATAAATACTACTTCCAGGTTGAACAGTGACCAAGTGAGGAGCATAAAAATGCACGTGATCGTTCGTTATCACACGATTTATCATCTTCTCAGAAGTGGAGAGTGAAAGCATCTGATTAAAAAGTGGAATCTTCTTTAGATTCGTGAGCTACGAGAAAAATAACAAACACACAGGCACATGAGTAAAGAAAATGTTTAGGAACGTTATTTAGCGTAAAGCGCTTCAAATGCATCAAATATCACATATATACACATAACGAGATATTTATAAAACCTCGACAATAGTTTTTGGCGAGAAGAACAGTTAGAGTGACTGGAAAGGAAGAAGGCATTTGCAGAACATTTTATACGAACAGAAACAAACTGAGGAGTGTTGTACGATTCAATTTGAGCAGAAGATCGCTCCAAATTCTCAAATGGAACGAAATGGTGCAAGATCACGGCATATAACGGGCACGTGAAAATTCTTTATAAGAAAGGGCGATAAAGATCGCTATCGGAACAGGGGAATTCCCGACGTTTTTATGTAACATAAACACATACATATAGTCGAATGAAACATCTGAAGCGTTATCTCAATAAGACAAGCACCGTGAAGCGTGCCTAGTTAGATTTCCTATTCAATAGTGCATCTGAGAGAATGCAATTATTATTACCATTATAATTGTAACCAATCTGCAATACCTCTGCAAAAAAACGAATAACAAATTTTAGCGAATAAGAGATAGTTCGACACAGAAATCAACTATAGATGATACGGCCCGTTGTGATTCAATTTGTTGTGCCTATTCTGACTCAACGCTGAGGTATTGATATGTGGAAGCATAAAATCGAACGACTCTGGATTGCACAGAAAGGAATGAATGCATTAAAAACGTTATATTCAGAAGTTTCCGAATTTCAAGTAGCATATCATTCTCATTCTAATCCGCAGCCAATGCAAAATGATAAGTGCATTCAAACTCCATATGAACAAGGAACGAAAGATGTCGGGCACAACCTAATAGGTGCATCGTGGAATTGTATAAACAGAATTGAAATGAGGATAAATAACTAAAAATAAAACTAGATGATATTTTTGTAACAATAAAAACATTCAACAATGAAGTGAAGGGGCATTATATGAACAAACAAACTGTGTTGTGACGAGATGAATGAAAATTGCAGAAAAATTGACTATGCGACTGATTGAAAGGATTAAAAGCTAGGCGATATCGAACTCATCGATCGATGATTGTATAGAAAAACGCTAGCCCAGCTTCACGAAACACCGTTAAATCGTCTTGAAGCTTCTCTTCATTATCTGCGCTCAAATGAATCGATTCGACTGTACACATATACATATACATACTATATTATAGAATGCATGGAGACAGGAAATATTCCTCAGAAATAAATAACATCAAAATCAATATATTAAATACTCTAGACGAAACTATAATTTCGGAGCAAAGCAACGAAATTCGATTGGAATAATGGCGATGATGAATAACGAATGAAATTATGGAAATTGAACTTGTTTAAATGAGATAGAAACAAAACTGAGCATACATATTAACTGTAGCAAAAGATATTTAAAAGAATGTTGTTCACGAAGTGGATATGTGAATACGAATGTTTTATTGGAAATTGATAGCTCAGTTTCATTTTTTTGGAATATTCAGTTCAAACAAACGTTAAAACAATACATCATACGATATATGCTTATCAAAAACATATAACTTAGCACCAATGAAGCGATTTCGCTACGTCTACGTTTCTTAGAATCGTGATTTCACACAATAAGGGTTAGGCAACGAATTCGAACGAAATATTGTCTCATCGAATGACCCTTATAATCATTCAGAATGAAACGGAATCGCTAAATAATAAGCCGTTTGGAAGTGCATTATCGAGGAGTAATTTTGAAGCAATGATTTAATGAAGCATCATCATATGTTAATAAAGCAGTATTTGACTGTTCAATATAACAGTGGAGTAAACCTTTAAAATGTTTCGAAACTGATTGAATTTCAAGGCATCGAAAGTTATAATCAAAGACAGCATTACATGTGGATTTATCGGCAATGAATTGGCAAATTTAAAATTTTCGGTTATTTCACTCAGTGACTCCAAAAATAATGTTTGAGGTAATTAGCAACTGAGGACAACTTCTAATTGAGGCACGTAGCGAAAGCGTTTAAAAGCGCGAACACTGGTTGAAAAGAGAATATTACCGAACATGAACGTAGAACGAAAACGATTAACCAACGACGAATATATGATTCTTTGGGAACATTGTTGGGAATGTGCATCGGGATGCATTGATAACTTGAATGGAATAACTAAGTAAACATACTCATGGTAATGATAATAACAATAATAACAGAAGCAGTACAACGAACTGAGATAATAACAATGATTTAATGAAACAGCACAGTGGATGATCAATTCCTGTGATCACCAAATATAAAATGACCGGATGCATATAAGAAGCGCATGTATCAATTGAACAGCTAGACAATTCAATCCCAGTAAAATCAACAACGTCACAAACAAGCGCACAAACCAATTTCATTTTGAGATCTACACATGCATTCGCATTTTACCATTACTAATCCAGTTTCATGCATTTCCTAACACTTATATGATTGGTTTCGATCGATTTCACCGATGATCTCATAAAAATAACATCCGTGTCTATCTGCTCACTGAAACAATACTTCTTTAACCGACAGCAACAATGTGAGGCTTATGGAAGGAAGACGCACCGGTTGAATAAGTGCAATTAGAATCAAAACAAAAACAATAGATAAAAACAGTTGCAATAATACTGCAAGAAATTTAATGAGTAAGGGAAAAACGAAACTGGTATTGAATGTGGCACTAATTTAAAAACTGCAGTTACAAGCGAAAGGTGATTACTAAAAAATGAGTGGATGAAAAAAACAATGATGATAATAATGACAAAAGAAACAAGCACCACGACGAATCGATGAAGCATTCAATCGATGAGTTAACGAATCCGACAGCGAGACATATATTCGAGGCGAATGCGTATGAGGCAAGATGCTCGAAGTTTGAAATGGTTTAAGGACAAAAGACAGGCATAACCTCTGCAAGCAATCTAACCAATGATATCAGTATCAGTAATCATTTGGTTACATAACGGTTGAATGATACCCATTGTGTCATCCGTTGGTGATGGTAACATCATATCCAACCATTCCATATTCATTGACTACAAAACAATTACTTTTAATTCAATTACATAACCAAATTGAACACGTTAAAACTCGAATCAACAAAAACATACCTGATCAGTGAGTTGGTTCGATTCGAAACAACAGCCCATCATCGAGTCGCTGTGCTCAGCACTATCACGACTATCCATGTCATCATTCAACTGATTAACCTTCAATAATTATATTATCATTATGTGATTAAAAGAATAAATAGATGCAGCACCTCATCATGAGCATACTGAATGCATGTCTCATCATACGAACGATTCGATTGCGCGTGTTGCATATTATCATTATCAAACCATTCTCCATCCAATAGTGTTGTCAATTCATTCGATTCATCACATTCCGTACTCAACCCAAAATCATTTCCTTCCACACATCTTCCATCCGCTGTTGTCGCTAAAATGAAAAGTTTCATGAATAGTTAATACGAAATGATTCTGTTTCGTTTACAGCAAACAATTCAAAACAATAACAGTATAACAATGAACAGTATTTAGAAGTAAACACACCTTGATCGTCACGTAAAACGTCCATGAGATCATCGAATGCCTGGTTTTTGGAATACTGCACTGGACATTGAGCGTTAGTGTTACCGTCTGTCACTACCGTCACCACAGCCCCTTCCTCAAGCACCTCCACTCGTTCCTCATATTCATCCACATTTGTCGTCGTGCATTCTCCTCCCCCCGGATGTACCACTTGATGATCATTTACAAAGAATGCTGACGAACAACTTTGCGCTGTCGGCTACAATTCAAGGCGATACAATCTCGAATAATTTTATTCAAATGATAAATAACAATAAAAGCAATCAACTCACAATGAAGGGATCTGTATAATGGGCACCATTCTCCAATCCATTACCACACATTTCAGTAGTAGATTGACAAGCAGTTGCATCACTGAAGAGCACTTGCTGCTGTTGAGATTCAGGTTCATTCGATTGGCACTGTGAGGTGTTCTCATGTGTACTATACATATCGGCGGTAATCTCTTCTGAAGCACTACATCCTACTGTCTCAACGTCTTCATCCGACTTCTTTTCTGCAGCAGCAGTAGTATCACTCAATAATAAAGCACGAGAAGCATCTTCCAACACTTTTCGAAATATCTCTTCCATATCAACTGGGGCACTTGATGTTTCATTCTCTTTACATTCGCATGATGAATCCACTTTTGACGCGGCACTTCTGAAACTAATTATTTATCGAGCAGTCACTAGTTATTCCTTTCGACAAGCATTAATTATTGGGTTGGTGCATGAGTTTGTGCGCTTTTAATCAAATTCAATCAATAGATTTATGAAAATTTTGCCGAATAATATCCTTCCTATTCAACTGCTGAGGAATTCACCATTTCATGCATCCCAAAGAAGTAGTGGGTGCTCACTGAGTTGAAGAACACTTGTTACTGTTGTGATTCAGATTCTCTTTATTGAAAACACTACTATTTTCAAGGTTACCATTTATTTTCACATCTTAATGGCTTATTTCAAATTCCCATTTTTGAATTTTCCTTCTTTTTCTAAACCAAAAAAACATCATCATAAGCTACATCCTTAAGTAATAGCTATCGATGCAGCTTTTGTACATAGGAAAATCAAAAAATATGAAATGTACAATAGAACTAGCTGAAATTTGATAGCATAAAGCAAACGTACCGACTGGTGACGGTCTTCTTTTTGTTTTTTGGTTTCAGTTGACCACTTGAGAAAGTGGCATTATTCGTGTCTTCGTCGACGTCATTACTGATATCAATGGATGAGGAATGTTGTTTTATGGAGTTCGCATCACTTGCGGTTGCATCTTCGTTCAATACAAGTTGATCATTTTCACACCTGTTTTGCAACTCAGCTGTATTACAACAAGTCATTATTTGCTGCTGTTGTTGTTGTTGTTGCTGTTGTTGCTGATTAATCACATCCTCAGTCGCTTCATTCGACGTCACATTCACACACTCTCCATTTGATACCACTATTGCTGTACCGTTGGATGTCTGAATATAATTTCATTCATACATCAGAATGGCAGCATTCATCGACAAAATTTTATTGAAATGAGAATGACCTGTCGCCCTCTCTCCAATTGGTATCTTCTAAGCAGCTGTACGATAAGGAGTGCAGTTCGTGCATCTTGTTTGATCAACCTTACAATATCTTGAACTGCCTGCTCTACATGCAGTTCTTCCTGAAGCTTTTGTTCGGTGGTCGTCAGTTTCTGTTGTTCCACCACATATTCCTTAATAAATACTTTATTTATTAGGAATCATGAAATGAAAGATTAATTGTTTAATGTTCAGTTAGATGGAAGAGACCTACCTGCATCTGTTGTTGTTGAAGTTTATGCTGAAGAAACAACTGAATATGAAATTTGTTGAGATGTCGTATGTCAAGTTGATTCAACCAAACATCTGCTTGTGACTGTTGACTGTCATCTTTCTGCTGCGCACATTCTTGCCGTTTGCTCTGCTAAAAACCATTCAACTTTTCAGTTTCAATATTACACAGTATTATCACACTCTAAATCAGTGGTTCTCAACCTTTTTTCCCTCCACACCCTTCAAAAAATTTTAAGATGTCCTCGCACTTCTTTCAACATCCACTACAGTGTGTGTCTGTAGAGCAGCTAAGTGCATTACGTTCTAGTCTTTTCAAAAATATATATGTTAAAGTCCACCCTCGCTTACTTTACGCACATGAATGCACTGAAATACGTTCTCGTCTACTTTAATGCATAAAAACAGGGTTTCTCAGGCGAGAATGTTCACACCTCGTACCCATCGGAGGTGCGAGCACTCCCGCTTGAGAAACCCTGCTCTGAATCAATCCAAAATTAATTGAAACCTGAGCTCTCTTCGCAGCTAAAATCACTTGTTGCTGATGTTTTAGTTGTTGTTGTGAACGGTGTAATTCCTTTTGCAATTCTTCAATCTTGCGCTGTTGGAAACGTAACATTTCCTCGTGTATTGAAAGTGTTGTTGCAGATAATCTACGAATGATTTTTTCGTTTAGTCATCGTATATTGACGGTTCAAAGTAATTTTATTTCATTTTGAGGCAACGCTTCCAGATTCGACAAATTTACGAAACTTACAATGCATTAGTGTCATTCGGATCGATAAGCATAGGATGAATTGCTTGAGAGTGATTTGATGATGACGTTGTTGATGAAGATGATGAAGATAATGTTGATGATGAATCGATTTTAGCTGGAGGTGAAGGCAAATTCGGTGAGCTGCCCAGTGCAGAATCACCGATGACTGGAGAAGACCCGGATGGAGGAGGGACTGCAGCATGCATTGGTGAACATTGAGCACACTGAGCCATTGCTCCTGTCATTGTTGTTGCTGCCCCAACTTGGATCACATCTTCCTGAACAAACCGGTTGTGACGAAACTCCCAGTCAGATCAGCGAATCTTTCTAATTTGCTCCTTTCTATTCGTTATTCACCTTTTCAAGCAACACTCTTACTCTTGTTCTCAAGTTGAATGCGTCTTATAAAACAACGATTCGATTACAATGCACAAAGATTATTTTAATAGAGAGTGCCCAAAAGCAAAAAGTACCAATCAAATAAATCATCCATCTTAATACAGTAACTTTATAGATACAACATAACTGAAAGATAAAAATCGACGTGATCAAATCAAAAAAGAAGGATAGTGAACCCGACCTGTTGTTGTGGCTGCTGTAATTGTGCTTTAGAGCTGACCACATACTGTGTTGTCAAATATTGTAATGAATCAATATTATTATCACTATTACCATTATTAATACTATTACAATTGTTATTATTATTATTACTATTATTATTATTATTCAAACTATTACTACTGCCATTGTTTGGATGAGTAATGAAACATGTTCTTGATGGAGGAGATGATGAATTGGATGCTATATGCGCGTTTGCAATTAATTGTCCAGATGAAGAAAGCTGCAGAGGTTGAGTAAGAATTTGAACTGTTTGGGTTGGTATCAGTTGTGTAGAATTTTGGGCACTCATTGGTAGCGATGCGCTATTATTATTGTTATTGTGGAAATGAGTGGTTAATTGGGAGTGTTGCGACTGAAGAGGTGTAATGATGGATGATGACGAAGAGGATAGACTACAGCAGGATGTGGTACGTAATGACTGATTCGAAGATGACTGCTGTTGTTGTGGTTGATTAGGAGTTAGCAAATCTGGTGAAGTGCCGTTCGGTAGATTCGTTATGAGACATTGTTGTTGGACGTTATTATCGTCGATTATTGGTGTTGTTGCGGATGAGACTGGGCATGAGCCACTTGAGGTTTTATTTGGTGCAGTACTCATTGCTGCATTTGCATGCGAATTTGAGTCATTTGACGAAGTGGCTTGAACCAATGTGAACTGCAACAGTTCAGACATTTGATTGATTAGCTATTGCATATATGCCCTGACATTGTGCCGGGATTTGGGACTGTTCCTAATTTTTGGCTGAATATTTTATAATCGACTTTTTTTTTATAATGGCAAAATGAGCTGGATACACAACCCAATGGGAGAAACAAGAAACATTATTTACGAAAGATAAAAATTGGCTAACATAAAATGCTGAGCGAATATTTTAACATTCCCTTGAGTAAAATAGAGGAATAGTTCGCTGAATGTTTGCAGGAAATGTGAAGTAATGCAAAGTAATAGGAAAGAAATCGATTGAAAAGTACCTGTCCACCAGAACCAAGCTGTGCAAAGCTAAACGTTGGTTCATTATGTAACGGAGATGTTGTCGGATGGGATATCGAAATGAGCTGAGGCTGATTATTACTATTAGTGTTGTTAGCATTGATAATTGGATTATTATTACTATTATTATTACTGCGATCAACATTATCGTAGTGATTGATTGTAGACGCACTGGGTGCATGTTGTTGCTGGATATCACAAATGCAGTCTGAGGAGACACGACAGTATTGTACATTACTTGGTACACTTGCCATTGCTACAATCGATCCATTCGAATCGAGTAACTTAAATATACATAATGAAAATGAACAAATGCATTCATGTAACAATAATTCAAAGGTGAAAAAAAACATTGCTTACATGCAGTAACTGAGGGTGTTGTTGCGATACACCGGGTACATGTAGAAGAAGAGGTTGAATTTGCTGTGTATTGATTTGAGCTTGGGACTGTGAGGATGCAGATGAGACATTATGTCGGATATAATCATTGATGACATTACTTATTGGTGGTAAACGATTGCTATGGCATACGGCTGTCGTCGAACCGTTCGACCATTCAGTTGACGGAGTTGCGCTTGTGCTGGCTGTATTCACCTGGTTCTCATCTGCTGCTGAATTTGTCGATAATATAGCTTCTTCGAATGGTTTCAAACGCTCAACAAGTTGCGGTTTTGCGCCAGAAACTGGCAACTGACGCTTCTTGCATTCATTCTTGAGATCTTGAACCCGATAATCCGATAACTTCATTTTTGGTTTATCACCTGCAGCTATTGCTGAATTTGATATTACTCCTACTGTTGCCCTTGTGATCGTCGTCGAATTAGTTGGCGACAATTCATTTGATGCATTAGTAATATTGTTAGCATCAAATGACTGTTCAACAGTTGAATGATCACAAACGAGTGCTCGTGAATCGTTGTTATCCAACGGACTGTTATTATTATATTCACCATTCAAATTCCTATTCCCTATCGTCTGCAGCATTTGCGTTGACGTATCATTCACTGAACAACATCCGTCATTCGATGAATTACGCATCTGTCCTTCCTGAACACTCGAAAAATGAAGTTCTGAAGTTGAGCACTGCAAAGAGCATAAATTTAAACGTCCGTTAACAATCCATCTATCACAAGTGAATTTAATATCTCAAAAAAGAATGAACGAATTTATTGTGAATACAGCCAATAAGTAGTCAACACCAGCAATATAAAATATAACATATAGGATGTGCGAAGAACTGATGTTTCATGCTGTACCTGTGAGGTATTGCTATTATTATTACGAGCTTCTTCCACTTCTTTTTGCCACTGTAAAAAAAGTTGTTGTTGTTGCAGCAATAGATCATAGCTACTCTGCACTTCTTTTGAATCGCCATCCTATAAAAGGCATCATTTCTTAAAATACTTATTATCATCTATTTTTCATTAGTTATTCAAAAGTGCAAATCATACCGATTTACAATCAGTCGCTGATTCACTCACTAACGGCAAAACGTTTTGTGTAGAAGTGCTCTCGGTACGCCAGGAAGTTACCTGAAAAATGATGTCCAAATATTATTTATTCCATGCACTGATCCATGACAGTTATATCGACTTTCCACAGTTATTTTGATGAGTAGCCTCAACTATTCAGAAGTGATGGTAAAAACACGATAATTTCAAGGCTAAATGAAAATGCAGACTGAATGCACCTTAGGTGATGTGATACTCTTAAGGCTCGATCTCGTTGAGCTGGGGGACGGTATGGTTTGTTGATAAGGCGTTCGACATTGATGCGTTTTCTTACGTATTTTCGATTTCACGCTGCACGGATTTGACGAAGATTTCGATGTGGAACTCGGTGAAAATGAGGACAAGTTCGATATAATTTCCATCTCTTCAATACATTCAATCGTTATTATGACGAATACGTCAGCAACGTCCGAATTATTCAATGTCACGAAAAAAGTTTGAAAAGGCATCTTCATGAGTGAACAAAACTGACCTGAACATGGAGAGTGCTGAACGCGACAATCTCTCTCAGGAAAATCAGATGTTTTCGTGAAAAGAACACGACCCTCTGAAAAAGAAAACTCATTGTGAATTTCATTAAATGCTGAATATTGTCCTTTGATTCCTTTTATAAAAGTTTATTGAAGATTTTAGAGAATGTGACATCATATTGTATACATGAAAGAGAAACCTTGGATGGCTTGTTCTAATTCGGCATCAGCTTGGAGAATCTTTTTTGTCACTAATTCGAGCGGTCCTGGACGATGTTGCAATTTCTTATTCAGGCTATCTTTCAATTTACAGCGTTTGAGCACCTCAGCTTTCTTTTGGATCAAGGAATCGGCACTTGACGCTAAACATTCTTGCATAATACCACATATATATACATACTATGAACATATTTCAGAAGAAACAAACACATTTCCAAATAACTCATCAAGGCAAATTGACATATCACATCAAATAATACTGGTCAACAGGTAAAATGATTCTGAGACGAGAATAATAATTTTTAAGTTAATTTTAAGTCACTGATAATGGGAATTAGTTATGAAGATACACGTACATGTCAGAACAAATTCCAACAGACTTGCGGTATTAACAAGCCGTTAGTTCCTGCGGGCTATGCACCACATATGAAAAAAACCTATGAGAATATACAGTGTATAATTCAGACAGAAAATATGGTGAACATCAAGGGAACACTTAGAGATTGTTGCTACTGTGATGGGTTTACAGGATGGATACAGCAAACACAGTTGCTTCCTATTTCAACGGGCATCCGTGCAAGTGATTCCCACTAATTTAGGAAAAAGTGGCCACCTCTCCACTGGAGCTTAGAAGAAAAATACTGCTACCACAGCTGCAGATAAAATTGAGGCTTATGAAGAATTTCGTAAAAACTAGGGATAACTCCCGTCAAGGATTCAAGCATCTAAAAAAATTCCCCTCACTGAGCGATGCTAAACTATTATAAATGAAGGAATTTTTATCAGTCCACAGATTCGTGAGCTTCTTAAACATGGCGACCTTGAATAGGCCTTCAAGGGGAGGAGAAAGGTATTGGGAAGCATTCAAGTTAGTGGCAAAGGAATTTCTCAGAAACCGAAGGGAAGAAAGCTATGAAGACTTGATGTAAAACCTGATCAAGGCTTACAAGAACTTGGCTTTTAAAATGTCAATTAAAATCCACTTTTTCGACTCACACTCAGACTTTTCCACCGCACTGTGATGAAGTCAGTGAAAAGTTTCACCAAGATATTTCAATCATGGAAAAACTGTACCAAGATAAATGGAGCACAACCATGCCTGTTGCTCATTGCCAAGTGTGTTTCCTCAGCCGAATATGAATATCAAGCAAAAAGAAAGGGAATTGATAAGGAATGAAACATAGCACAACGTAGACAGTAACGAAAGACTCAAATATTACATGTTTCGTGTATCTTTATAACTATAGCCAATAAGCCATTTTTGAGGTGATATTTGAATTCAGAGCATGAAATTACATCAGAATTAACTAATCATATTTAAGAAGCACACAAATTTTCAAAATTTATTGATCAGTTTAATAGTCGTTCATTAAGAGCAAACCTCTGCACGATTACATTCTATGAAGTGAATATTACGCAACTTTTGAATATTAACAATTCTTGAATACACCAAACTAACGAGGTGTACATCTACTATCAAATATAACGGGTGGAAGTACCAGAAAGCAAAATGTGTTGTGTGACGAGCTTTTGCTTGCAAGGTCTTTGCTCGATCTTGCGTTTTAGCGCCTCCTTTTCGTTTGCTCGCAACAGTCCACTTCTCGGTGCATCACCGCCTTCAGCTGAAAACTCGAAATGTTTTCATCAATAAAGTCAACTTGGATTAAATTACACACACATCCCGTCTTTGTACGATCCTACCATATATACGTCCTTCATCAAAATTAATTGTTTTTGCTAATAAATGACGAATATTAAGCAATAGTCAACTAATAACAACAGCGTTTGATGTAAACTATTGAATAAAACCTTGAGTTTAGAGCAAAACTCGTCATCTGAAGTGAGGTGACTGTGCTAGCAGAGTTTAATAAGTACATATTCTATTATACGTATAGTGCAACAACAAAATCAGTCAGTGATATTCCATTCCAAAAACAACGAAGATGACAGAAATGATAAGAACGGATGTCATTCTGCAATTGTCTATCGAATGATTCTGAATCATTCACCTAGCATATCTCAGTGAAAACGAAGAGGAACAATTCAGCGTTAAGTTGATGATCCATGAGTGATCGCTCTACAAATCACTTAACGGCGTCAGTTCCTTTTCACTTTTTTCTTTATCTATGATATAATATCTCGGAGTCGAGTCTAGATCCATTCGCCCACACCGCTTCATTTTTCGTTAATGAGGAACAAACGGGAATGTGATCACATTTTTTGTTTCCCGTCTTTCGATCCCTTCATCATTACGATCATAAACAAGACCACACCAAATTTATCATCACTTTTTGGTGTTTATTATGACAGAAGGACAACGAAATGAGGAAACTTAAACTCAGAATAACAAGCAAAAGATATGTGAACGAATGAAGACACATCATTCTAACTAATGGGTGCAAATAAAATGAACAATGATGGTCAATTTTTTGATTCATGACGAGCGGTTGAGGTCAAGAGGATAACTGAGGGTATAAACTAACTTGCTGATAAATTTAAATTTAAATTTTCACTGACAAATGCTTTTTTAATTGCTTTTCGTTGTCAATTGCTGAGGTTTACATTCTTCCTGCAGTTGATAAACAAAGCTCTAAAAATACTTGTTTCAGAAAATTAATTTCTTTCAAGCCACTGAGAATTTTCCGGACCGGTTTTCGATTTGATTTTGACGTTATGCGTGAAAATAGTGAAGTGGGAGGGGGGAGGGGGAAGGAGGAGGAAATGACGATCTGCCAGACCACCGATAATGGTGCTTTCAAGCGGGGGAGCTTTGAAGACACAATGAATGTCGTTGTTCGATGACACGAACACAAAAAATTATCAGAAGTAATTGGAAAATGCAACAAAATACGACTGCTGGAAAGGCAAAATAGAAATGAAACGTTCTGTGGATGACGTGAATCAATGATGTTAACCGAAGGGGGCAATGAGTGAGTACTTTAGAAGCAAGTAATTAAAGACACACGAAACGGTAAATTAATCCTGCTTCTGGGGTTGTATACTTTGATATGAATCTACACCGCAACGGATGAAAGGAATCAAAGTGAGAAATTTTCACTCGATTATTGTTCTTCGATGATTTTGAATTATCGATCCCATTGTACCGCCATTATTTAGAGGAAAACACGAGACGAGGCAAAAGCAAATTTTTCGTGAACGGCAAAAGAACCCTCGAAGAATTTCATTTTTAGTTTCGTGACTTTCTACATTAATAAACGCATAATAAAATATAATTACGTTGTTGGTGGTCTGGCACTTCGAGAATGGTTGAGCTTTTCTGAGCGTTTTGTTTTTGGATCGTGCAAAGCATATTTATTAAATGCTTACGAAATTTTGTTGATATGCACAATATACCAATTATACCTACTTATTCATACAGACAGTGGCATAAACAGAAATATCCTTCGGAAAGAGAAGAGATGAAGGATATGCAATCAACTTGGGTATGAAGTTCGTGATTTTGGAATTTTTTGTAGTCCTGAATCACTTGGGTCTCAATCATACGGTCTAATTACAAGCTCACAGCTTTACCCCGTGGACAATTTCGAGTTTAGGCTAATTGCGTCTCACCGCAATGTTTCACATTTGAGTTAGCACAAGCCTTCCTCGATTAGAATCAAACGACACAATAATATTAACTGAAAAGTTTAAAAAATATCCTGCACTCGGATAAGAACAACTGTCTTCGTTGAATCTACAATTTTTTTTCAAGGCTTTTCGTTCTTCTTGTTTTCGTCAGAGAAATAAATACATATTTCAAACTGATTACGTGATTTCGTTGGATTGTCAGTGACACCACTGAATATGATTAGTAGTTTAGCACAGTGGCACACCACTCGGTTTCGAGCAAAACATATCCTCGATCGTGTTTTGCTCGAAACCGAGCGGTTGTTACCCAGTGGAAGGAATCATGCGAATATTTCTAATTCTTTATTACAGGAACCACAGAAAGGATTAATAGCATCGAACGAAATTCTAGTTCGATTTGGATCCGATTGAATCGACTGCTCAACATTTCGACTATCGAAACTGATCGCATTTTTCCGACCAAAAATCGGTCGAACGATGAATGTTCGCCATCACTAACGATTAATGCAAAATATCGAACGTTGTTTATTATTGATGCCGTTGGACGCAAGTTCAATCAATCGCGCGGAGAATACTTCTAGGCAGTCTCAATTTGCACCCCCTCCGTAGGAACCATTGGGCAATGTTCGAGAGTTGCCCTACACCTCTATGCTCGTTAAATTAGAACTTCATGAAGTCGGATGATTCCTTTTACTAATATCATTAGCGGCGAGGAAAATAAGGAAGGAGGAATGTGATATTCATGATGACACCGAATCATAAACCTATAACTGCTGAATGAATTAATCATAAGATATTATGATGAGTATTACTATTATTCTGACTAAAACTTATCATTGTTACCAATGTTGTTAGTTTTCATATTAAAACCATTATTAAAACGGATGAAAAAGAAGAAAAGATGGAAACAACACATGAATACAAATGTTTGGGAAGAAATTTGTTTGCAAAATGCGTGCAGTTTGGCGCTGAGGTGCAATATGCGTTGAAAAGAGATTTCTGGCTGAATAAGAAACAGTTGGTTGTATGCCGACCTGTTCATGGTGCTGGAACACGTCTGTTCTTTTAAGTGGTGAGAGAGCAGGCCTAAAACGATATTTGCAACTTTATGCTTATTGTAGCAGTGAATGTCAGGTTTGTCGAATTCACCGACATCCTCAGCGGGAAGAATATTAAGATTCTTTTAGAGCTATTCATGAGCTTTGATAAGTTTAACAGCGTTCAAAATCACGCGAGCTTCACTGCAATCGAACCATAGTAAAAGCATTAAAAACTTAGAAAATCTAATAAACCCTTTAGAGATCGACGTTCGCCTCTACGGAACATGATTTTAAGCGTTCATGAAAACTGAACCAAAGCACCTATTCAGAGAACCTTTCATCAGTGGCGTAGTCAAGGATGGAGTGAAGGAGGGTACTCGCCCCTCCCTTGAAGGTAGAGGAAAAGGATAAAAGAATACGGAAAGAGAAGGTAAAAATGGAGAAGAGGAGAAGGAAGAGGAAAGAAGATGGAAAAAAAGATAGGAGGGGTGCAGAAGGAAGAAAACATAAACGTAGAAAAATCCACTCCAA